CAATAAACAAATTTAAAAGGTAACAGATCATTGTAAACTTTGGTTTATTTACATAATTATTTTAATCGCTGAATGTCCGGCCCCCGAGCTGTTGGCTTTCAAAAACTGTGGCCCACTGAGCAGTTTTGCTGAATAGCCCTGGTCTATACTGTAATGCCAGTTAAAACAACTACACTACCCAGAAGCGGTGCTTCCGGCCAATGCTTTCTGCTGAAATGGAGGGAAAGTTTTGCAACGCAAGCTCACAAAACTGGTAGGAAAGTTGCAAATAATTGTGAAGCTGAACTCAACCTCTGTCTCTCTATGCTTGTTTATGTTTCTCTCGGACAGGCTGTACTGAAATTAGAGCTGTCATTTCTAACCCGAGCCCTAAACCCAGCCCCACCTGACCTGAATTTGGGGCAGGCCAGGCCAGGCCATGAAATTGTGCTGGATGGGCAGGCCGGGTCGGTGTTGGGCTTTTAATTGGGTCAGGATCAGCAGTGATATATATGATAAAATGGCCTGCCATACATTCACTGGCCACATGCAGCCACTTCACCACGAATTGACCAGTCTTGAAAGAGGTAAAAAGTTCAGTTAAGCTTCAGATGGGACTATACTGCTAGGAAGCGATCCATCGCCCAAATGGATGTTCATTCAGCTGTTGTACTCAGCGGATGCGCATGGCCGATGACCCAAACAGGTGAGATCCCAAAACAGACGTGTCAGAGCAGGGTCCGTGTCTGAATAAATCAGAATGCAGGCAAAAACAGGGTTTAAATGCTCTTTTACGGCCATGAAAGGACAAACCCCCCCTCAGCTCCAATCTTCTGCCCCTTTTATTCAGCCACATATCCCCAATCATTAATAACTAATTAAAAATGTCATTTTTTTTCCGGGTTCGGGCCTGTAATTACTGTTAATTCATCGGGTCGGGTGGGGTTCGGAAATGATGACTGCGGGCTGGGGCTGGGTCGGATCAGATTTTTTGGGCCTGAATGCAATTCTAACTGAAATGTAATTTTGTTGCGCTTCGGTGCAATCAGTGGTGTAGTCTACGCGATACGCGGGCATACGGAGTATACCCACTAGACAAGCATAAGAATTTCATTATACCCATTTAAATGTGCCCAATGACACATGACATATTATTAGGCACATGTCGGTGATTCATTAAATGACAGTTAAATGCTTCAACAATCTATCTGTATGCAGCGCTCGCTTATTACATTCACTTATCCAGTGAATTTTTGTATAAATCTGTACTTACTACTTAATACTTGAACATATTTTGCTTTGCTACTGTTTATAAATTCTATAACATGTTTTTAATACAAAGCCAACTGTTGTACAAAGTTTGTTGTACATTTATTCAAATATAAGCATCGGAGAAATTTGGAAATGTTCAATATGCTTAAAAATCAAAATAAACTAACAATTACATTGTAATGACCGGTGGTTTCTAAGCGCAGTATACCCACTACAAAAATGTAGACTGCACCACTGGGTGCAATGACAATAAAGCTGATTCTGCTTCTTCAATGTTATGTTAATGTCGAGTTTAGAAATGATGTATTCGTTCAACCTCTAGACAGAAACTAGTCCGACTCTGTGCAGACCAGACCGGGGGCCTCAGCATGATAATAGGATAATACTAACAATTACAAAATAAGCATTGTGAATAACTGCATGGACAGTTTTAAAGACAGTGCTATAGACAGTTGTATGATACAGAAGTCCCTTGTTTATTGCGGGGGGATCCATACCTTGAAGACCCGCGATAAGTAAAAAACTGCAAAGTAGGAATAGTAGTGCAAGTAGTAAGTAGTACTTTATTTTATTATTTATATAGATAAATATTAAGGTGTTTAAGACCCTTCCCACACTCTTGCAGCAGGAAGTTCATCCTGCAGTAGTAGGGGCTGCACAAAGCTGCAGGATGAAGCTTTTTCTGCTGCTTTGACTGCACAAATGTGCAGCAGGTGCTAAATAATTTAAAACAATTTATTTTAAAGAAAAATTTCATGCTGATTGTGCGGCTCATCCATCAATCATCCAATTGTGTGTCCTGTCCAATCTTATTTTGAAAAACCGCGATAGAGTGAATCCGCAATGAACAAACCACAAAGTAGCAAGGGACTACTGTATTTGCAGTTTAACAGCAAACAGCATAAATTAAATACACAGAGCGTAGCTTCACCATGAACAGGGTACAAAGGCTAATCAACCTAGCAACATCTTAGCATCCTACTCTAGCTTATTGTAACTCAATAACAAGCTTAACAGCTAGCAAGGATTAATCTCGAAACACCTAATTACACTTTAAAAACTGTGCTAACATGTCATAATGCAGAGTAATGCACTTATGTTTTCAGTCACCCATCCAAAATTTGATTTACCAAAGCATTGAAAATATAGCACTGCAAGATGCAGAACTACTGAAGGACCCCAAAATGTCTTTCGCAGGCTAGACTGCCTGTCTCGCTGTTGCATGTCCAACACCACCCTCTGTTATGACTACAGTGCTGTACAGTACTGCTATCACATTTGCAAACTGAGGCTCAGAGGGGACAGAGCTTTTTCTGATGCCTCTCCAAGACTGTGGAATGATCTGCTTCTTCCCATCAGACAAGCGCCTTCACTGTCCATTTTAAAAACTCTTTTAAAAACATATTTTTGCTTTATTAGCACAGACTGAATTTTCTCTGCACTACAGTTTTTATTGTTTTTATTTATTTATTTATCTTAATGTTTTAACAACTTTTTTTTATGTGTTTAAGCTTTCTTGATTTTATGTGTAAAGCAATTTGTTGCAGCTGTGGTTGTTTTAAAGGGCTTTATAAATATATTATCATTATTATTATTATTATTCATGTGTCATGTTTCCGTCATTTGATACAAATATGTTCAGAACTTATTAGCATTTTCTCCTCCAAGATTCTGTCAAAAGTTTTATCATTTTCAATACATATAAAGTGTATTAGTTAACTATTAAAATGTAAAACCCATTGAGACGCACCTCTCCGGAAAAGGCCTGTCCATTCAGCAGGTGTTCCGAGCCCTGGCCATCCTCACTGCCAAAATGTAGCCGGATCTCCTCCAGACGATGACTGTATGTCATTGGTCCCCCAGAGATGTTAACCAGGTGCTCCTTGTCCAGTCGTAGAGAAACATGGCGGCCAGTGTTATACATTGTCCCACCCACCTAGAAAACACAAAATAAATAGTGATGATTACAGGCTAATACAAACTACAGATAAATAAATAAATACAAACATATCTATAAATGCTCAAAAAATAAAGGGAACAACTAAACAAAACAATGTAACTCCAAATCAGTCACACCTTTGTGGAATCAATGTCATAATTTAGGTAGTAACTCTTATTGTGAATCAATTTCAACTGCTGCTGTGCAAATGGAACATACAACAGGTGGAATGAGCGGCAATTAGCAAGACAACCCCTATAAAAGAGTCATTCTGCAGGTGGTGACCACAGGTCATTTCTCTGTTCTCGTCCTTTCTGGTTGAAATTTTAGTCACTTTTTCATTTTATCAATGTCATGCATAGAGGCATCATGAAGCATTTTTTTACAGCCCACTGAAGTTGTTCAAGTAGTGCAGCTAATCCAAGATAGAACATCAATGCAAGCAGTGGCAAGAAGATTTGTTGTGTCTCTCAGAACAGTGTCAGAACATGGAATAGGTACCAGGAGACAGGCCAGTACACCAGGAGACATGGAGGGGGGCCGTAGGAGGGCTACAACCCAGCAGCAAGACCACTACCTCGTCTTTTGTGTAAGGAGGAACAGGAGGTCCACTGCCAGGGCCCTACAAAATGACCTCCAGCAGGCCACTAATGTTTATGTTTCCACTCAAACTGTCAGAAGCAGACACCCTGAGGGTAGTATGAGGGCCCGACGTCCACATATAGGGCCTGTGTTTACATCCCAACATCGTGCAGGACGATTGGCATTTGCTAGGGAACACCAAAATTGGCAGATTTGCCATTGGTGCTCTTCACGGATGAAAGCAAGTTCACAGTGAGCACATGTGACAGACGTGACAGAGTCTGGAGACACCGTGGAGAACTTTATGCTGCCTGCAACATACTCCAGCATGACCGGTTTGGTGGTGGGTCAGTCATGGTGTAGGGAGGTATTTCTTTGGATGGCCGCACAGCCATCCATGTGCTAGGCAGAGGTGCCCTGACTGCCATAAGGTACTGGAATGAGATCCTCAGACCCATTGTGAGACCATATGCTGATGCAGTGGGCACTGGATTCCTTCTTATGCATGACAATAGTAGGCCTCATGTGGCTGAAGTGTGTCAAGGTTCCTGCATGATGAGGGCATTGATGTTATGGACTGTCCTACCCATTCCCCAGACCTGAATCCAATCGAGCACATCTGGGACATCATGTTTCAGTCAATCCACCAAAGCTACATCGCACCACAGACTGTTCAGGAGGTAAGTGATGCTCTAATCCAGGTCTGGGAAGAGATCCCTCAGGAGAACATCCATTGTCTCATCAGGAGCTTGCCCAGGTGTTGTTGAGAGGCTATACCGGCACGTGAAGGCCACACACACTACTGAGCCTCATTTAGACATGTCTTGAGGAATATTCACTGATGTTGAATCAGCCAGTCATGTTATTTTACACTTTCATATTGAGTATGAATCCAAATCCAGATCTAGGATGTGTTATTTCAGTGTACCCTTGAATTTTGTGAGCAGTATACAT